CATTTAATGTTAAGAATTTCTTTTCTACACTGGAGGCAGATGAAGCATCTTCATTTAAAAAGTATGTGTAAAAGTATGAATTGTAAGTCAGGTATTGGGCTAAATATGTATATATAAGTTCCTTGGATGTCTACATATATTTATTTGTAAGAATACAGAAATATGAACATAGCTTTACGCAGATATGGTAATTTGATTAATAGTGATTTTCTGCCTTAAAAAAAATATTTTGGTATCCAAATAGGAATCCAAACAACAAAAAGACAACTGATACCACTTTACCTATCAAATGGACCCATATTTAAAATATTATAATTCTAACATTGGTCAGAATTCAAATATATGCAGTTTTATATAATACTGAAATGACCTTTCTGGAGGCAAAATTTGTATACAGTTTCAGCAGACATAATAATATAGATCAAAGTTTATTATAATGAGAAAATTCTTTGACCATTCTTACAAATTCATCTGAAGGAAATAATAAAAGATATTTATGGTTTGGCTACATACTATAGTATTGTTATAATTATGAAATATTGAAAGTAGCTTTAATGTTCAACAATAAAAAATAGGTTAAGAAACTTTGGTTATATTCCATATAATGGAATATATATGCCACTATTTAAAAAAACAAAAAAACACCACAAATTGGTAAGTAAAAAGAGCAAATTACAAAACCCTGCCTGTGATCCCATCTTTATTATAATAATGCGTGGATAAAAAGTTGGAGGGTACTATTATAAAATAATAAGAGTGGTTAACTCTGGATAGTGGGATTATAGATGATTTTTATCATCTTATTTTTGTTTCTCTGTATATTCCAAATTTCCTTCAATGAGTATGTATTTTTTACCTTAAAAATATATACATTTATGGGCTGCAGTTATAGCTCAGCTGTAGAGCACTTGCCTAGCATGTGTGAAGCACTGGATTTGATCCTCAGCACCCCATAAAATAATTTTTTTTTAATTAAGGTATTGTGTCCATCTACAACTAAAACAATTTTTTTCGAATATTTTTTTTAGTTGTTGATAGACCTTTATTTTATTTATTTATATGTGATGCTGAGAATCAAACCCAGTGCCTCACACATGCCAGGCAAGTACACTACCATTGAGCCCCAGCCCCAGCCCCAGCCCTAAAACAATTAAAAAAAAAAAAAAATCTCTGTTTAGGGCTGGGGCTATAGCTCAGTGGCAGAGCATTTGCCTAGCATGTGTGAGGAACTGGGTTTGATCCTTAGCACTGCATTAAAACAAATAGAATAAATGCATACTGTCCTTTTACAACTGCAAAAAAAAAAAATCTATATTTACAAATTTCCTCTAGTGTTGTTGGATTCCATTCAAACAATAAAAAAACAAAATAAAAGTTTTATGTTTCTTGGGTCAAAGATATTTCTGTAGAAAGATAAATATGATATTCATTAAATATTAAGACATATTTACTAAGTATGAAGGATTCATTGAGCTCTAATAGGAAAAAAGATGCTCAGTTCTGAAGGTCAGGTTTAATTGCTAATGTTGGTTTAAAAGATACTAGAAATCAGACTGGTCTTATAGCAACTTCATAGACAGACCAGGGAAGACCTAGAAATATGTTGTTTCAATGTTTTTAAAGTAATGATACTAACTAACCAGTTGTGAACATAGTACCTCTTGCACAGCAAGTGTACAAACATCTGTTGAATTGAAATGATTCATTGGTGTGAGTCAGCTTATTGCTTGAACAGACTTATTAACATTTCTTGATTTTTATGCACATTAAGATGAATTTTTTTTTTCTGTTGCCACCAGAATAATTATATCACATTCTCATCTCCAGCCTCTCACTAGGGTCCATCTAGTCCCACATTTTCAGTTGTTCACAGGACATTTTTAACAAATATCTTGATATTTCCTTCTATTTTATGTATCTAAACTTGCATAATACCAGTTTGGCTATTGCCTACCCACCTACCCATTTACCCCACTGGTGATTTGGAAACTAGCCTCCATAAATTTTGGAAACTAGCCTCCATAAATTTGATTATCTTGTTAAGAGATAATTATGTGCACACTCAGGGCCAGTTCAGTCTGTCCTCTTTTCCTACTGGTAGTACTCCTGTTTGCTGGGTTTGAAGGCCAGAGCTCCTAATTCTACCCCTTAGCAGTCATGCTTTCTTTCTCCTGTTGGAGGCTTCATATAATACTGACCTACAGTTGTAAGCTCTGGAGACAGTCCAACTTTAATTTCTTCTTTCCCTAGCACAACAGGCCAGGTTTTTTTTTTCCCCTTTCCAAAATACAACTTATATTATGCCTTCTATACAGTAACCTGGTCCTTCAAGGCAAAGATATTGTGGTCTTTTCTTTTTTGGAAGTGACTTTAGTTAATTTATAAGTCTATCAGATTAAAAACATGCAAAACTCAGCCCTGATTTCTAGAGTCTTAGCGCCAACCCCAGTTCTGTTCTTTTTTGAAAGGAAAACAATAATATAGTCCACAAACTGATTGAACTTACTATTGGCTTATCAAGCACACATAGATTTTGGTTTCTCATATACCACCCTATTTCAGAGCCCACATGAGATGCTGGCCTTTTCACTTGATTCTCCCAGAAATTCTCCCCTGGATTTCTCTTGATAGTGCCTCCTCCATGGAACTCACATCCCCTGCCTTGTGGCTGACCAAGAAATACCTAGTTTCAACAACAACAAAACAAAAGAAAAAACCACCTCTCTCCCCCACCCCCAGATATATACCATCTCTCCTTTGGGTTGGGAGTGTAGCTCAGTGGTAGAGTGCTTACTTAGCATGCACAAGGCTCTGGGTTTGATCCCCAGCAGTGGAAAAAAAAAAAATCACTGCTAGTCATTTGAGAAAATTTCTTATTTCCTTACTTCTTTTTATTAGTTTACTCTGTGGAAGATAACAGACCATAGTCATGGCTGAGAAATGCAAAAGGAGTACCAAGGATATATTTATGAGAAAGGAAAGAAATGCCCTAGTTTAAAAGAAGTAATATATTACACATAATTGTCAGTGACATCAATTTGTGCCATAGTGAGAGAATCTAGGAGACATCTATAGATGCTTTGTAACTGGAAGACAGTGGGAAATATGGGAGAAGCAGCTTGGGGTCCAACTATAGAGAGCCTTGAGTATCTGGCTAAGGAGTTCAGTTTTTTATTTCCTAGTAGCAAAAGTGATTCATTGGGGTTGGGGCTGTAGCTCAGTGGCAGAGCGCTTGTCTAGCATGTTCGAGGCACTGGACTTAATCCTTAGCACCATATACAAATAAAATAAAGGCATTCTGTCCATCTACAACTACAAAAAAATTTTTTAAAAGTGATTCATTGAAGTTATTTTGTGGATAAGACAGATGAGAAAAGCAGTATTTTAGTAAAATTAAATTAACAGAATTATGCCCAATGAATGTGGAGAAAGAAATGCATGAAGATGAGTTAACAAGTACCTAAGAGTTAACAAGATTTAAGGAAAAAGCCTAAATGAAGGTATCTCTAGTAAGCCTGGGAAGGAAGACTGATGCAAGACATTTCATGGTAAGAATCAGTTGAATGTGCTAACTAAAGTAGAGGTGGAATTGTGGAAAGGGGGGAACTCCACGTGACTTTCTAAAGTGTGGTTGTTTAGAATAAAGATAGTGCCATTGACAATTATAGTGGGGACGATTATGACTTTGGTTTTAAATGTACTGAGTCTGAGGCTGTAATAAGATTCTCAAGTGTCTAGGACATGGATTGGGGATATAATTCTATTTGAATCACTTAAATAAATCAACAAACACTTGTATGTCTTCTATAGGATATAGAAGGATATGTATAGGATATCTCTGAGTAAATGTATGTATAGTAAGAGAAGAGCAGAGAATTGAAGATTTAACATCGGAAATTTGTGTAGTTCTCGGAAGATAGAAAAGCACAGAGGATCAAAGAGGAGAACCAAGATAATTTAGACAAATAAGGGCCAAGGAAGGAAGAAATTTCAAGAAGAAAGTTACAGAGAATGAATATTGAGGAGATGCTGAGGGAGCTAGTACATAGGAGGTAATCAATGCTCCTCCAATGACCAATTCTCCAAGGTTGAAAATTAATAAAAGTTATTTTCTTTAGTTTAATTCAACACAAACTTTCATCAATTATCATAAATGTTTCTCCCTTTCTTCTTTAAGATATTTCTCCCTCTCTTCTCACAAGTCAGATCTAGTTGATATGGATTCTTTGGTAAGGGAGATAAAATTTGGGACAAGTTTGATCCCTATCAAGGAGCCAAAGAGGAATTATTATTTCCTCTGACCTGAAGTTTTGATCTATAGTTACAGTATTAGAAAATGAGAATATAATTTTAAGGAGTAACTTCACTGTCTTGTTCAACCATATAATGCTAGCTCTTGTTCAACCATGTAATGCTAGCCCCTGCCAGCCTAGATCCTGTTCTACCAATAGAATGTCATGCTATTTAGAGCACTGTTTGGCTGAAGGGTAGGTTCAACGTTTAAATCACACTTGATTCCTTTTGGGACTGCAATCTTTGAAATTTATCTAGCTTTAGGCAGATTTTATTCAGTTTAAGTTCTATTTCCATTTAGAAAAAAAAAGTGATCTGAAATAAACTAATGGAACTTAGTAAGCTTCCTGTTGACCATTGAACTAAAGAGTACCTATAAAGAAAGTAAAGTCAACTTTTAATATCTCCCCCATTGGGCATAGCATGTAGCTTGCTTTCAGAAGACATTTGGTTTTTAAAATATTCATCAGTTTAACCTTTAAGTTTTAGCTATATGTGGCTCAACTGCAGTAAGTGTGATCTTTTCACTTCTCCAAATGTCACTGAATTCTGCAATTCTTGTGCCCTGTCCTGAATGGAGTCAACCCCAGAGGATGCTAAAAGGGTTGAAGTAGAATGTTTCGAAAGTGGAGAAGGAAAGCTCCCTAGAGGTAGCTTCTGACCTCCTTTCTTTAGGAAAATTAATTATTCTTGGTATTTTATTACAGAAGCTGAAAAGGCAATCTACTAAATACAAGGCAGACAAGATCTATCCTACAACCGTGGCACAGAGGCCCAAGAATATCAAGAAAAATAGATATAAGGATATTTTGCCCTGTAAGTTCCATTTTTCTCTATAAACATGTAATTACTCTCACGTTTAATCATTTTTCCTTTATATTGTACAAATTATAATTGTACAATTAAGTCTGCAAGAGATATTTATTTATTCATTCATTCACTCACTTACTCGACATTCACGGTATCTACTGTTCACAATATTAGGCTCCGACTTAACCCTCTATGTAAGCCTTTTTAGTTACACTATGTCTTTCTTTTGTTATTACAGATGATCATAGCCGGGTAGAACTGTCCCTAATAACTTCTGATGAAGACTCCAACTATATCAATGCCAACTTCATTAAGGTATACTAAAAGGAAATAAAAGCATTCCATTTTTTTCTCTAGGAACCTAAAAAAGGGAATGGGAAAAGGACTTGGTGAGAAGAGGGTATTATCTATAGACATCTCATGTAATTTTTGTTTTCCTTTAGGGAGTTTATGGACCCAAGGCTTATATTGCCACCCAGGGTCCTTTATTTACAACTCTCCTCGACTTCTGGAGGATGATTTGGGAATATAGTGTCCTGGTAAGTGCAAAGTTGTGTCTGTTACTTTATTCTCCAGTTCTTAGGGATAACAGGGCTAGAGTATCAGAATGTGACAAAAATTTCCCATTAAAACCAGAGTTTTTAAAATTGGTTGATGGGATTTTAGGGTTCAGACCACTTTTATTAAAATTACAATGTCATTCTTGTTCAAGGAAATGAAAGTTCCTACCTTGACAGGCTTTTGGTAAGACAAATTTTCTGATTTGAATAGAGAAAAGGGAAGTGGGGACAGAAAGAAGGAAGAGTGAGAGCAACATTTTATATAAGTTACTAGAATTTCTTTTCTGGTTAAAAAACAAAGCAAAACAGAAAAACAGTGAGTAATGCTTTCTGACTGAGACCCATATATTAAACTGCCCTTTCTGTCTCTATGGCTGCTTTAAGTTTCTATTTCATCTCTCCAGATCATTGTAATGGCATGTATGGAGTTTGAAATGGGAAAGGTGAGTTATTTTCTAGTACCTGTTGACCTGAAGGTAAAGGAAAAAGGGAAAATTGGCAGCAGAACTTAAATATGCCTAGGTAAAAATCATGTCATCTTCCTAGTTTTCACTTTGGGAATGCCATACGACTCATAGGGTTTTATCCACCCCTAAGAACCCCCTTTTCTCCATTTTCTCAGTAGACTTTCTCTTTTAAAATAAAAGCAATGTTTGCTTTTTAAACTAACAATTCATTTTCTAATTTCTTTTTTTAAAATATTTTTTTAGTTGTCAATGGCCTTTATTTTATTTATTTATATGTGGTGCTGAGAATTGAACCCAATGCCTCACACATGCAAGGCAAATGCTCTACTACTGAGCTAATACCCCAGCCCTCACTTTCTCATTTCTGTTAGTCAGATTTTTTTTTTTGATAGTTGTAGATGGACAGAATGCCTTTATTTTATTTGTTTATTTTTATGTGGTGCTAGTGCCTCACACATCCTAGGCAAGTGCTCTGCTAACACAGCCCCAGCCCTACTCAGATATTTTTAACTGCCAATCAGAGCTTCTAATCTTGTGCTGTCCAAAATTGTATAAACTAGTCACATGTAGCTATTAAGCAATCAAAATATAGCTAGTGTGATCAAGGAACTAAGTTATCTTATTTTATTTTAATTGATTTAAATTTATAAACAATACTCAGTTTAGTTACTAAAAAACTTGTTACGTATGATTGGAACAACTTGGGCATATGAACCTTTTTCAAATGTGAATTTTATTTAATCTAAGTGGAAGGAAAATATTTCTAGTAAAAGTTAGCATCCTAATTAAATTACTATAAATATAAAATATACACAGGATTTTGAAGATTTAAAAAGAAAGAAAGGTTAAATATCTACTATTATCTGTTGATTACATGTTGAATTTTTTTTTTTTTGTACCAGAGATTGAATCCAGGCACACTAAACCACTGAGACACATATCCATTCCTTTTTAATTTTTATTTTGAGATAGGGTTTCACTAAGTTACTTAGGGCTTCACTAAGTTGCTGAGGCTGGCTTTGAACTTGTGATCCTCCTGCCTCAGCCTCTCGAGCTGTTGGGATTATAGGTGTACACCACTGTGCCCTGCCAAAATTTTGTATAACACTGAGTTGAGACATATTATTAAAAATAATTTCTTATTTTTCATTTTTGAGTGTGGTTATCAGAAAATCACATATTTTTTTCTGGACATCACTATTCTAACATACTGTTGCCATTAAGAATTGGCAGTTCTAATGAAAACCAAGGAAACTTCTTGTGTAACTGTTTTTGTAAACATATAATTTCTTTTAGTTCTTTTGAAATACTAAAAATAGATCATAGATCCCTATTTCTATTTTTTCAGACTTCTAAGAAGTCTATGATTTCTATATCCTTTAATGTTTGTCTTCCCATCCTTTGGAGATTTCATGAGAGTCTGGATGTAGGGGTTGAATCCCAAAGGGATTAGAAGTGTCTAACCTAAGGTGAAAGACCTACTTCTGAATGAGGGTTGGGGTTTTATTTCCCAGAACAAACTAGATTATAAAGAAGGAAATCACTGCATTGTGCTTTGTGTAACAGAAAAAGTGTGAGCGCTACTGGGCTGAGCCAGGAGAGATGCAGCTGCAATTTGGCCCTTTCTCCATATCCTGTGTAAGTATGATGCCTGTTCCCATTATAGCTGAGCAAAATTCTACCTTACAGACAGCTTGTCTTTGAAATTGCCAATATTTTAAATCTTCTTTTTCTTAGGAAGCTGAAAAAAGGAAATCGGATTATATAATCAGGACTCTAAAAGCCAAGTTCAATAGTGTAAGTATAGAACAGAAATGAATGATAAACTCAAAAGCCTACAGAGATCAGGCAGCTAAATATATATGTGTGTTAGTGAGGCTAGACATGAGACTATGGGGAGTAGTGGGGTCTTTGGTATCCTGAAAAAGTCTTTATTTTCAAGAGACTTCTGATATAATGCTCCCCAGTCTAGTCTACATATGACATACACATAAAATGATAATATCTGTATGATGAATAGAGGCTGAATAGTGAATAGACTGGGGCCAAATTTGAGAGCTCAGACTGCCATAGGCCCTACTCAGCCTTTCTAAAGGTAAAGGGATTTAATATGTCAGCATGTCTGATGTACTACTTGGAAAGATCTGGTTTGGACCATTTTAAAAAAAATCTCTCTCTTATGAATGGGGCAATTGAGGATTAGGCAATAGTAAGAGACCTCAAGTAATATTAATTGTTCTCAAAGGAACCTAGTTACTCGAGATCTATAGAGAATAAAACAGAGTACATTGCAAAAGGAAAAAATAGATGCAACTTTGTAGACTAATCTTTTGGTAGGATGAGGTGAAGTCCCAACCTTGAACTCTCCTCTTATTCTAGCTATTTTTCTTATAGGAAACTCGAATTATCTACCAGTTTCATTATAAGAATTGGCCAGACCATGATGTGCCTTCTTCTATAGACCCTATCCTTGAACTCATCTGGGATATGCGTTGTTACCAAGAGGATGACAGTGTTCCTATATGCATTCACTGCAGGTAGGTTGCCATATATGAACCTTCTACTTAGAATGAACCAAATGTCAGTCTGGCCAGGACTCCATGATTGAAAGGAAAAGGTCAAGAGCAGAAGAAAACTATAAAATTCAATTGGAGCATTAAAGTCATATTTTTCTGTTACTTGTGAATAATATAGCTCTAGTAACTCTTGGCTGTTGCCTAGGACCTGTCCTGAGATTCACTGTAGCATGGCAAACATGCTCTGATAAATGGTAGGGTTTAAAAAACTTAATTACCTTCAGATTTCTTCTTTTTTCAAATCTACTATTGAAATTTTCTGGCTATTGTCAATGATCCACTCTCTACAAGTATACATGTAACTGTGATCTTTAATTTCAGTGCTGGCTGTGGAAGGACAGGTGTTATTTGTGCTATTGATTATACATGGATGTTGCTTAAAGATGGGGTAAGTTTCTTTCAGCATGAACTTCCTGTTTGCTTACTCCATTGCTTTCAGACTTAGGAATAGTTGGTTTTTCAAAACACTCTCATGATTCATCTTTTGTGGAAAATTCACATGTAGATCCATTTTGTCAGATGATTAAACATCATTTCCTAAGTAGGTCGTTTTTAAAGTATGGTCCTGGGTGCTGAGGGTAGCTCAGTGGTACAGTACTTAGCTTGCATGAGGCCCTGAGTTTGATCCCCAGCACCGCAAAGTGTGGCCCCAAGACAGAAACAGCAGCATTATCTGAGAAGTTATTAGAAACACAAATACTTTGGCCTTATACCATGGGTTGATCACAGAAATTTTGGAGTTGGAGCATAGAAAACTCTCCATGTGACTCATGTGCATGCTAAAATTTGAGAACCACTGCCCCAAATTACATAGTTATTTGCCCTTTTTTCATCCAAACTGCTTTAGCAGATGGATGATGGACTCAATTTACCACAATCAAAATTTGTATTTTAACCAAAAAATCTTTTGGGGGGAGGGATGGGGGGGATCTAGGGATTGAATCCAGGGCACTTTACCTTTACTGAGATTTTATTATTTTTAGTCTTTATTTTTTTAACTTTTATTTATTTTATTTATTTTTTGTGGTGCTAAGAATTGAACTCAGTGCCTCACACGTGCTAGCCAAGTGCTCTACCACTGAGTGACACCTGGGCCCCCTTTAATATTTTTTTTCCACTACCATGGATTAAACCCAGGGTTTTCCATATGATAGACAATTATTCCCATCCACAGCCCTTTATAAATAATTAATAAATACCAACTAGGATATGGGAAGTTTAAAATATGGGCTTTAGATCCATCTGCTAATTTCTTTTGTTTCATAAAACTCTCATATTTGCTTATCTACTGAGCCTTGTCTCGTGTATCTTTAGTTTCAGTCATTTGATCACCCCCATGTGAACTCACTTTAAACTTGTTTTAAAATCTTTTCTAAGGAAAATACAAGTCTTTAAATCATGATGCAACTGATGAGAAACCATATTCTTTTTAAAAATGCATTTTTTTCTGATATTATCCCATGGTAAGAGAGCAGATGTCACAGAAGTACAAGACTATGAAAGAGTGGGAATGATTTGTTAACAAAGGATATAAAGGAATAAGATATTTCCCCTTTTATTTAATAGATAATTCCTGAGAACTTCAGTGTTTTCAGTTTGATTCAGGAAATGAGAACACAGAGGCCTTCGTTAGTTCAAACTCAGGTATGCACTATAGTGAACAGATCAGAACATGTGTTTATGAGTCTTGCTTCATTTCTGTGTTTAATCGTAAGATATCCCAAAACCACTGGCTGTTGTAACACCAATTTGCTACTAAATGCTCTTCTCTAACTCTTTTCCCAGTATTTTTTCTATATCCCTCATCCTGAGTCAAATTATTTTCATTCCTCATATTTAACTGTCGTTTTGGAAAATGTTAAGAAGCCAATATTATATTTCTTATTAAGAATGTATTAAGGGACTTTCATGTCAACTAGAAATTTTGTAGTAATCTCTGAAATGATAGAAAAGCAGGGAATCATAATTTCTTTCTTTTTTTTTTAAATAGCTGGTGGGGGCTGTGAGGTATATAAAGGGTTTTTTTTTTTAAAGAGAGAGAGAGAGAATTTTAATATTTATTTTTTAGTTTCTGGCGGACACAACATCTTTGTTTGTATGTGGTGCTGAGGATCGAACCCGGGCCGCACGCATGGCAGGCGAGCCCGCTACCACTTGAGCCACATCCCCAGCCCGGGAATCATAATTTCTAGTTTAGAAGGTAGTAACATTTAAACTGTTTAAATGATCATTTTAGGAAACCACAAAAATTCAGATTAAAATCAATCATATTCTAGCAGGGTACAGTGGAATATGTCTATAGTCCCCACTGGATTTACTATCTGGAGGCTGAGACAGGAGGATCATAAGTTAAAGGCCAGCCTCAGCAATTTAGTGAGACTTTGTCTCACAATAAAAAGTAGAAAAGGGGAACTGAGGTGTTGCTCAGTAGTAAAGCGTTCACCTAGCACACGTGAGGCACTGGGTTCAATCCTCAGCACCACATAAAAATGAAATAAAGTTATTATGTCCACCTACAACTAAAAATAAATATGAAAAAAAGTAGAAAATGACTGGGGATGTGGCTTCAGTGTCCCTGGGTTCAATCCCCAGTACAAAAAATTAATAATAATAATAATAATAAATTATCTAGAGATAGTTAGTTACCATTTTCTATAGTTTTTCTTGTCCTTCGTGTATGCATACTTAAAAAAATAATTGCAATCATACTATATTATGTATCTTTAAACCCTCCCTCAGATTACCCATGCTTGTTTACTCTATTAGGATCTCTTCCTAGCTCAAATCTTTCATAGACTACAATATTAATTTCACTCATGAATCTGTATCAGTAATTTCTAAGTGGTCTCCATCTTTAAGATGGAATTTAGCATTTACTCTTTCACTCATCAAATATTTATTGATGTTTAGTATATGCCAGGGTTTTTTGTTTTTGCATAATTGTTTACTTTGAAGTAGGAAGACCCCAAAGTGTTTCAAGCACTTATAAATGAAGTTGCACCTAGATTTAAAGATAAAACAACTGACAATGGCAGTTTAGAAATTTTAATCTAGAATTTGTGAACTGAAGGGAAAATATGAAGGACTATTTGTTGGGCCCACACAGGCTTTCCACTAATAGCTTGTGGAAAAAAAATTATTTTTTTATGTGTTGACTGTAGGTGTTTTCTACAATCAACCTATAAGGGGAAAGTTTATGTGAAATGAAAGCATTAGCTGGTTTGGTGCTGTCAGACTTGAAAGAAGGGCGATCCATAAAAATACAGGAAGTATGCAACCCAGTTGTAATACTAAATTAATAAAACCATACCCCATTTTAGAAAAATTCTACTCCAGGTCTACTGTGTGTATGTGTGTGTGTGGTATCAGAGATTGAACCCAGGGGCAGTTAACCACAGAGCCATATCCCAGCCCTTTTTATTTTTTATTTTGAGACAGGGTCTCACTAAGTCCAGACCCTACTTTCAAGAGTTAGAGACAGCTGAAAAAGCCCTCACATTTTGGCATTATCAATGACTCGCTGAACAAATATCTTAACAGTCATAGCTGCTTTTTCTGACATTACTTTAACCACAAAATGACAGTGTAGCCAGATGAGTATTTCCTGTTTGATTTTTCTCTCTTAAAAAAAAAAAAATTAAAAGAGTGTACTATAGCTGTGTTGGGTAATATAAGACCCTACATTGTTTTCCTGCTAAAAGTACCTCTAGAAAAAGTTTTTTTTTTAATTTGAGTGGGATTGTGTAATATATCAGAGAAAGTAGTTGAGTAGACATAAAGGAAAGCATTCAGTAGTGAAAATCCATAAACCTTATAATAGTAGAGGTATCATTTCTCTATGGGTATCCTTTTATAATCCCAAATTTCCAAGCCTTATTCACACATTTATTTTTCTTTGATATTTCCACTAGGATAAAGTTTCAGCAACTTGATTCAATTTTTAAACCAAGTTCTAGAAATTACTTCCGAATGACCTTGGACAAACAGTCTGTAAATAGGCATAATAACCTACCTACTTCGCAGAGCAATTGTCAAGTTAGATAAGGCATATTTTAGCTTGCTCTCTCTCTCTCTGTATGCCAACTGTTATCTACCTTTTTCCAGAAAAGTAAAGGTGGCTTACATGAAATGCATCTAGGATGAAATAAATTTTTTAATTGTGAGCAAAGAAAACGGAATTAGAGGAATGATAATGGAAGGAATGATAATGGAAGGAAAGATAAGTAAGAAAGTGGGGTTAAAACATAAAAGAAATATGCCATAAGATCTTGTACATTAGCTAAAATGATGTAAAATATTCAGCTATTTGTAGTAGCCTAAATGTGCTTTGAAATCTGAAATGGACTACATAAACATAAGGCATTGTTATTAAGTTTAATAAATTATGTTGGGTGGTCCTCTCAGGTCTGCCATATTGATATTTGATGGGTATTTATGTTCCTGAAATCTTATTCTGTAGTTCACCAAGATTTTTGGTTTTCTTCATTTGTTCTGGTTTATGATGCTCTTCAGGAACAGTATGAACTGGTCTACAATGCTGTGGTAGAATTATTTAAGAGACACCTGGATGCCATTGGAGATAAATACTCTGGGAGAGAGGTAAAGTTTAACTTGGATACTTTGTAATTTTTTTCCATTCTCAGGTTAGTTGTATGATTTATCTATTTACACTCAACTAAATTAGAGTATCAGGTGTGCATAGGGCTGCACTGAAAATCTCCAGTAGAGGAAAAATTAATTTGAGGTGAAAGAACTTAGAAAATTAATCTTTTGGTTAACTTATTATTTACAGTTCTCAGCTAAAGTTAGAAAACAGTTTACTTACTCAGGGCAAACATATATTCTGATCCCATGTTTTAGACAGTTGTTGGCAAGTTAGAAGTATAAGTGACAAATATAAAATGAAGTCATGGCCACACTAGTCTTATTTTGTTTGTAGATTCCCATCAAAAATTTTAAGTTTGAAAAATTGTTAAATAAAAATTCTCTGCATTTGTGGTGTACAACATGATGTTTTAATACATGTACACATAGTGGAATGACTAACTTAAGCTAATTAACAGACCTATCATTTTTTTGTGGTGAGAACCTTTAAAAATCTATGCTCTTAGCAATTTTTAAGTATACAACATATTGTAATTAACTATATTCACCATCTTGTATTTATTCATCTTCTCTAACTGAAATTTCATATCCATTGACCAGCATCCCTACAATACCTCTCTTTCCCCAGTCTCTGGTCAGTCTCAACATTGTGCTGTCTACTTTTATGAGTTTGACTTTTTTAGACTCCACATGTGACATTATGCAATATTTGTGTCTCTATCACAAATGACAGAATTTTCTTCTTTTTTAGGCAGAATAGTTTTCTGTTGTGCACATGAGCATATTTTCTTTATTCATCCATTGATGGACATTTAGGATAAATTCATATCTTGGCTATTGTAAATAATGCTGCAAAAAAAACCTAAGGAGTACAAATATCTATTCAGTATACTGATTTCAATTCCTTTAGATATACTCAGATCATATGGTAGTTCTATTTTTAACTTTTTGAGGAATATTCATATTGTTTTCTATAATAGATGTACTAGTTTGCATTCCCACCAACACTGTATAAGTGTTCCCTTTTTTCCATATCCTTGCCAATACTTCTTCTCTCGTCTTTCCACCTGCCCTGGGTGCTAGCAATTGAACCCATGGCCTTGTGCATACACCACTGAGCTATACCCCAGCTCTTGTCTTTCTGGTAATAGCATCCTAAGGAGCATGAGAAGATACCTCATTCTGGTTTTAATTTGCAAGTTGAACATTTTTTATATACCTGTTGGCCATTTGAATGTTTTTTTGAGAATCACCTTTCTGTGTCCTTTACAAATTTTTAAATCAGGTTGTTTTCTTGTTATTGAGTTTTATGAATTTCTTGTATATTTTAGATATTAACCCTTTATCATATTTATGGTTTACAAATATTTCCTTCCATTTCATATAGGTTGTCCCTTTATTTTGTTGATCAGTTCCTTATATCATTAGATTTTGAGAATATTTTAAAATGTACAAAGGATTTTTTAGTTGAAGTTCTAAGATAAAACTATTACAATTTGGCCAAATGCCAATTAACAACTGAAGCAAAAATATAATGCTGTCTGATGTGGTTTGAAATATCTTAGGAGAAATGTTTAAGATGATTATATTATAGTAGCAGGAAAGGTAAAGGAGATGATTTCTATACTTGAACTGGTACAGTGATAACACCAGTAAACTGATTTTATATCTATATCTGAATATACAAGCATACTTACATATAACATTGCATATTATATAACATAAATAATACATGTAATATATGAAATACCTAGAGCCACCACTAAAAAGTTTATATAAAGAGATACAGGCTGGGGGTATAGCTCTGTGATAAGAGTTCTTACCTAGCACAAGGAAGACCCTGAATTCAATCACTAACAACACAGAAAGAAAGAAAGAGATACACACACTCTTAAAAACACTACAGGTAGGCATGTTGCGAGCCAACCATGGGCTGTGTGTTTGTGAACTATGAGCAAAGTACATGAGTGGACTGGACTGACACTGCCTCTCTAACTGGGATGTGCACGTTATGTGTCCTTTTCGCTTGCTCTGCCTTTTAATCCCACATAGCACCAGAGTTGGGTGTGACCTTCCAAGATGTCAGTCAATCTGCTCACCACAAGACATCAGGAAGCTAGACTCAACCCCGAAACCTGACCCCTCCTCTTTGTGTCTTCCCCTCAATAGGAAGGGGCTTCAGAACATCCTCTTCCTCTTTTGTCTGCTTCCCTCGCCTCCCTTGTGGGAGCCGAAGCAGAGAGGCTTTGCTGAATAATCCCAAAGAAAAATGTACTTTCTGTGTCTGTGTATTTAGTCAGCCCAAATTCACCTGGAGTGATCCTGATTGATTTAGACGTGTGTTGGTGGCACATGCCTGTAATCCCAGCAGCTTGAGAGGCTGAGGCAGGAGGATTGCGAGTTCAAAGCCAGCCTCAGCAAAAGTGAGGTGGTGCTAAGCAACTCAGTGAGATCCTGTCTCTAAATTTAAAAAATACAAAATATAGGGCTAGAGATGTGGCTCAGTGGTCAAGTGCCCCTGAGTTCAATCCCTAGTACCCAAACAAAACAAAAGAAAAAGAAAAAGAAAAAAACCACTATGGGTAAATTAAATAAAATTCTAAAAGATTCAGGAAAGGGAAAAATTCAAGAAAAAAAAAGAGAGAAATGAGAAACAGAAGACAAATATAAAACCAAAATAAAATGTCAGAATTAAACCAAATCACATCAATAATTACATTAAATATAAATGGTCTAAATATACCAATTTATATTTGCTGTAGAGTGAATAAAAATATGCTATCTAAGAGAAACTCACTTTGAATATAGAGGTTGATTGAAAGGGTTAGGAAAAGGATATATCATATAAACATAAGTCAAAGGAAAGCAGGAATAGCTATATTAATATCAGATAAAGTAGACCAAAGCCAAAACAAGTCATTATTGAGATGGGAAAAGACATTATACAATGATTAAAAAAAAAAAAAGGGCAGTCCACAAAAAAAAGATGTAGTAGACCTAAATGTTATGGACTAAACAACAGAGCTGCAACAAAATATGTAAAGAAAAAGGAGCAATAGAGAAATCACAAGGGGGGTTGGGGTTGTAGCTCAGTGGTAAAGCGCTTGCCTCGCATGCGTGAGGCACTGGGTTCAATTCTCAGCACTGCATATAAACAAATAAATAAATAAAGGTCCATTAATAACTAATAAAATATTTAAAAAAGAGAAACCACACAGATAATTAGAGATTTCAATAACCCCCCTCCATAATTGATAGAACAATTAGACAGAAAATCATTAAGAATATAGAACTCACCATCAACTGATAGGATCAAATTAGTACTCATAGAATATTTCATTCAACAATACAAAAATTAACATTCTTTTAAAGTGCCCCTTGAACATAGAAAATATCCTGAGTCACAAAACAAATATCAAAAATTTAAAAGAATTAGAATCACAGAGAATGTATCCTAATGTAAGGGTCCGGCGAAGTGTCGGAGGAAGAGACCACCATGAGACTGACTCATGCAATTGCAGAAGGGGATTTATTGGGGATCCATTCCAGCGCGCTGGGGCTCCGTGCTCACTCAAGAAGGGAGAGCAGCCCAGAGCCCAGAGCAGGGGCTGAGCACTGCTTAAGTACACTTCTTGGGGAGGGCGGGGACTTTACATACATCACAGTCTCCTTTAACAAATCATCATACACCGCGGGAAAATCAAACAACAATTCCTAAACATGATTAGTTCATTCATTGGCGGGAACAGGTCGGGCGGGGGTCAGTTCTAAAGCGGGGTACACATTCAAACTGATTGGTTTAGGCCCTGCGATGCCTACGTGCAAGATCGCACAGGGCCCTAGGCTATTAATCAACTAAATGGCCAGTAGGGCGTTGTCTTAACTGCCTCAGGAATTTCAGGTTCTGGGTGTAGCAGAGGAACTTAACAATACCTAGTCCTTCACTTTTTAACTCAGGCCTTGCAGCTTAGGAACTTTACAATGCCCGGTCTTTTACATTTTAACTCAGGCTTTGCAGTTTAGAAGCAGCTTAGAAACTTTACCCTTTCACTCTGACCACAGTGGAATCAAACTAGAAATCAGTAACAGGACGATACCAAGAGAACATCCAAACATTTGGAAACCAAACCACACCCTTTTAAGAATCCTTTGGGCTAAAGAGGAAGCCTTTTTGTTTTGTTTCAAGAAAACAGTTTATTAAAGATGATGTTCAGCTGAGTTGTAGCACATGACTGTAATGCCAACTACTTGTCTGAGGTTGGAAGATAAATCAAGTGCAGAGAGCCTAGACAACCTGTCAGGATCTCAAAAAATGTACAGGACTGGGGACATAGCTCACACAGAAAGCACTTACCTAGCATGTGAGGTGTAGGTGTAGAAATGCATCCCCAGCACCCAGAAAAGAAATAGCTGGGGACAAAACAGCACTTCTCCCTTGGCAGATGCCTCCCACCCTTGGACCTAGCACTGAGCAATCTTCCCATGCAAATCTCAGCAATGGCTAAACCTCTGCTGGTCCCAGGTCCAAACATTCCTAGCCCCCTTTGGGGTAACCAGACTCAAAGGTACATGGGAACCCAGAGAACATCTAAAGTTTGTAAAAACCCTGAATTCCCTTTGTAGCTGAAGGGTTAGGACTGGAAATTCCCCAAATTGGAACGTTAATGCCAAAACAATTGACTGCTAGAAATTAGGCATATAAAAAAATAGGCAGAGTTAGGTGTCACAGCAGGGTACCCAGTCATAATGCCTCTAGGGGAAACTAATTCCCTTTTCACTCTAGCCTCTCCTGTTTGGGTGGGGGGGAGCAGAGTAGGGTCCCTGAGAACAGGATTTTCTCTATCGTCTACTCCTGACCCTTTCATTTAACAAGCTGGTCTTATTTTCATCTGAAGAATTAGTTCAGGCCAGGCTGGGAATGGTGGCTCAAGCCTGTAATCTCCAGAGACTCAGGAGAGACTCAAGGAGGACTGCAGCAATTGCAGGCCAGCCTG